TGGGCCCTTTAAGTATCACTGGAGATGCAAGAAAATGTCTCTCTCACATATGATATTTGCAAATGATTTGATTCTCCTTTCACATTGCAGCTTACCCTCAATTCAGACCCTTAAGCTTGTTATGGATACTTTCTCTCAGCTTTCAGGATTGCAAATCAACTTCAACAAGAGCCAACTTTTTTTTTCAGGTGTTGATGAGTCTATAATCCAAAGCATTACCTCATTCATAGGAATTTAGAAGGGTACCCTACCTGTGAGATACTTGGGAGTCCCCCTTATCTCTACCATGCTTAAATCCACTGACTGCAGAATTCTGATTGATAAGATTACATCAAGAATATCTCATTGGACCAGTAGGGATCTATCTTTTGCAGGTAGGCTGCAACTTGCCAGAGCCGTTTTATTTTCCACTCAAACCTATTGGAGTTCTAAGTTCATCCTTCCAAGTAGCACCATCAATCAATTAATTAGAATATTTGGGGCATTCCTGTGGTCTGGTCCTAAACTCAAGAGGATAAAAACAAAGGTGGCTTAGAGGTTTTGCTGTCTCCCTAAAAGGGCAGGTGGTTTGGATCTACCTAACTTGCATTCTTGGAACAAGGTTGCAATAATGAAGCGCATTTGGCACTTGTTTAAGTCTAAAGATATGCTATGGGTTCAGTGGGTTAACACTTACCTCCTTAGAGGAAGAAGCCTTTGGGAAGTCACCACTCCTAGCCAGTGCTCCTGGTCTTGGAGGAAGCTTCTCCACCGCAGGCCAGCTTTTCAACCCCTTGTCAACCTAGAAATTGGGGATGGACAAAGCATTAATTTCTGGTTTGACAATTGGTGTTGCTTTGGCCCTCTTCATCAACTCATTTCTCCTCAACAGCACTTCTTATGACACCACAACCAAACTTGGCTCCTTCATCACCAATTCAACCTGGGTTTTTCCCTTCTCCATCACAAATATCCGTCCACAATTACACCTTACAAATAGACTGCCATCACTAAGCTCCCAGAACAAGGACAAGCTCACTTGGATTCCATCCTCTTCTAGAGAGTTCTCAATTGCACTAACCATGAAGTTTCTTAACAGGCACTTGGCGACTTTACCATGGGCTCACTTAGCTTGGGGGAAACCATTAATTCTAAAGCATGCGTTTACACTGTGGATTACTATCAAGCAAAGACTTCCAACCTTGGACAGAAAATGCACTTCACACATTGACTCGGTCACTTATGTTCTCTGTAACAATGCTCTGGAATCTCATGGCCACCTTTTCTTCATGTGTTCATTTGTTAAACCCTTGTGGACCTTTATACAAACGCGTTATGGGTTCTATTTCCAACTAACAAATTGGTCAAGTTTGATTTCTTGGGCGGCTTACCATTGGAAAGGTAAAGGTTCTTCTCACAGTAGCTCAATCTCAAGATTGGCATTGGCTTCCTTGGTCTACAATGTTTGGGCAGAGTATAATCGGAGGATCTTCATGGGGAAAACATTGTCACAGAACTCACTCCTCCATCTCACATTGGACTCAGTAAGAACTAAACTCCTATCTACCTCCATTAAGGATTCTACCACCGAAAGACAGATTATTGAAGAATGGAATCTGCCGTGCTTTGTTTTGCATCCTCTAACAAAGCTGCCGGACACCTAAATGTGGAGGTTTCCTCCATGCGCTGACCGGAATGTGGATCTGCTGGTAACGGCCTCCAATGTCCCCAACTTTGTCTTGGTTTTTCGCCTTTGGGCTTGTTATCTTTGGATTGTCTTTGTAATTTTCTTTTGGGCTTTTTTTGAGCCTTCTTCCTTTGGGGCTGTACAGTTTTATTTTCAATAAATTCAATTTACCTTTCAAAAAAAAAAAAAGAAGATGCTTCGCGACAGAGATGGAAGTGGTTTTTAGATTTGAAGGTACTTATAGTTTGGGGATGTGAGGACATGGAACATCTACTTGGTAAACCCAAATGGAGTTCAAAAACTCATGGACTATCTCCATTGGGTTCTTTTGGTAAGTTGAGAGTATTACAAGTTAGCAGTTGTAGATCAATAAAGTATTTGTTCTCCGCATCCAGTGCAAGATGTCTTCCAAAACTACATGAACTAGAAGTTAGAGAATGTGAGGCATTTGAAGAAATAATTGGAGGTGATGAGGAAGTCACGGATAAAGTTATTTTTCATCAGTTAAAGGAATGTTGTAAAGAGTGGGTCGTTAAAGTACATTATTGGAGTTCCAATATCAACTCCCTTCACAAAATATTTGAGCATTATTCAATAGCGTTATTCAATATTCACCATTTAGCTTCTCACTGTTACGTTGATAAATTTTTGGGTCACACGTGTGCGGCTATATTTAAAAGGAAAATGTTATAGTTCACGAATTTTGATTTGTGATTTTATCTTGAATCTTTAAATAATTAAAAGTAGTAGCTTCAATTTTACTATGAATGAGTGATTTTTTCCTCATGAATAAGAACGCTAATTTACATAATTCATTTAAAACTTTTTATAATTGTGTTTTGATTTGATATTTTCTGATTACAATTAAATTTTAATAAAATACTTAACAAAGATATAGAGGAGTTGGAAAATATAGAAAGTGCAGAAGATAATATATATAAATATATACACTTGTATATATAATGAAAAATATTACTAGTGAAAAACAAATTAGAGGTAGAGAGAGAAACATAGTTTAATCGTTTGTTATTTCTTTTTTCTTCAATTGACAATTCGATTAGTTTGCTGAAGTAGGAAACACAAATGCATAAAAGAATAAAGTGTATTTAAATATAGGACATTAATGTCTATTTAACTATTGCCACATCAGATTTAAGATCACATCTTAAATTTTAGTTAGCACTGCTCATATTGGGAATTATCCCACGTCACATCTCGCAAAGCACCCAACTCTAAGGACCCAGTCATAACTTGACCAAAAGAAGTCTAAGAAGGGGTTTAGGGTTTTTAGCATAGTCTGAAAATTGATGTGTGTATAACTGTATATATATGTGTGTGTAAGAAGGGGTTTCATGAACTTATCTAAAGGCAGAGTTTGAAAATTAATGTGTGTAGTGCCTATATATATATTTGTATATATACCTAATTCTTCTTTGAGTTTCTTGTACTGTTTGTCAGTTATATATGTACTGCGCCTAAGCTAATGCGTTCCACACATTAATTCCATTCTCAATATTTACTTGATCCAAAGAAGCTGATCAAGTAAATAAATTCACTTAATTTATTAAAAACTGATTATTGATCGAATAACAATGAACCTTGGTGCAGGAGGTTCAAGTTGTTCAACTGGGGAAATATACAATAACCCCCTCCCAATGAAAAGTACGTCCTCATCTCTCTCAAAAACTTTCCCCTTTTTATTATTAAAGAAAATGTAAAATTTTTATTGACTGTGTTCGTTTTAAAATTAAAATTTGTGAAATTGAAGAAAAATAATTAATAAAATTAAATTAAAATTTCTTTAATTTCACAAATTTCAATTCTAAGACTACAATTTCACACAGCCTAAGAGTAATACCACATGTCAAAAGATCCTCAGATTTAATATATTTTCTCCAACAATTGGAATAGGTTATTCGATTCGAATAGCACAACCCTAATTTATTATAAGCCACCAATACTTTAGTTGTTGGATAATGTAGAGTAAGCAAAATTTACGTTATTCAATGGATAACAATGCATAGGCAACAAACAAACAAGAAGAAATAACATTTCTCCTTTTTGTTATTTCTCCTTTTATTTTAACAATTTTATATTATACGGAGTATATTTTATTTATTATAAAGTACATATACATAGATGGATTAGTCTGATAGGATACACTTCCTCGAATTTTTTCATTTCTGTTTATGTAAATAATGAGTTGCGTTGCATTTTGTAATTAATTGACTTAATCATCTAATTTCTCGCTAATCAACTATTCACAAGAGTGGTTTGTTTCACCATTTAATAGTGGTAGGACGCACCACTTTCTAACTGATTGGAGTAGAAATAGGATCCTCTTAAGTGGAACAGTCATTCTCTTCCTTTTAGTTTGTGATGTACCCTACAAAACAGTGGAATTTTTACAAGTTATATTACTAACTTGATGAAACAAGAATATGAGAGAATTTTTGAGTACATCGATTCAACCTGACTAGAGTCGCAAAAGAGTAATGACATAAGCACCGATTCCCCAAAAAAAAAAAAAAAATTATCAAACAATTTTATAAAATCTAAAATTGAGGCATCTCATTATTTACAGAAACAGAAATGAAAAAAATGGAAAGAATGAATATAGAATTAGAAAATCTAGCTGAAATGGTAAAAACAGATGAAATAATTTGAAATAAAAAATGGATCTTATCAAACAATTTTAACCGGGTATAATGGGTATTGAACCACAAACAGAAACAAAAAATTTTAGAACCAAAAATATTTGGAACAAAAATGGAATTTGAATGAAACAATCCTTTTGATTTTTTAATAAAATCAGTTAAATTTTTATCATTTATTATAATAAATTAGATAAAAATAGAGAAAATTATTAACAATTTTAATTGCCCTTAAACATGGCTTGGTATTATCGACATCTACGTGAAATCGCTTTTGAGCCTTCTGTACCCTCCCACCATGGGCTTGGTAAAGTTCGTAGCTCCTCTCTCTCTCTATCAACGAATTATTTCAGCTAAAGTTCATGCGAACAACCTTTAGGTTGGTGGTTGGTAAATTTCCAATTTCACCCACCCATTAACTAAGCACATCTCTATGCCTCCTATGAATCAACAAATACCTAGAATTGTATTACAACTAGTTATACTGACGGAAGGATGACATATTTTGTTCATCCCAAAACGGCTTCTACCTCATCCACGTTTACTGGAAGAACTTATACCTTATCCAAGTTTAGTGGAAGTTGGCCACCAATCCAAACAGGACCATTCCCAATTCCACTATCTTCTGCCTGCTTGCATCTACTTTCACTCATCATATGTCACATAGGAGAGATTGGTGGTGGGACAATTATATATCCAAGTTTAATAATTGCAAACTCATGCTGTAAAAGTAGCACTAGAAAACCAATTAAGAACACCAACTTTAGCTTTACATAGGAGAGATTGGTCGGATCTACTGCTGCTTCAAATCTTATTTGTCTTCCATTGAGGGAGGTCAAAAGTTTTCTTTATGAAACTCAAATTTGGTGGAGGTGTTGTGAGAGAAATCTGATGCTAACTTTCTTAGCTCCTTTGTAAGTGCTGGTGCCCCACAGTAAAACACCCCTGCGTTTTCCAAAGGACCAACTCCATTAAAATTATAATACTAAACATAAAGTGGAAATGACAGAAAGTGAAGAAAAAAATGCACTACCACTGCTATACACATGTATGGAAATGACAAAGTGAAGAAAAAAAATTCCAGTTGGAGACAGGCTATGAATATGAAACCTTAAAAATCTTGTTGAAAGAAATAAAATATATAAATTGGTCAAAGTAGGTGACAACATATCTTTGTACAAAATTACAAAGAAAGAAAGAAAATATTTCAAGTACTGGATGTGAAACCTAAAACTCCCAAGATGAAAGAAATTCGTGTTATTACGTATTTCAAAAGACTAAAAGATATAATGTGTAATTCAATTGTAACATAAACTTGATATTATAATTGCTATCACCATTAACAAAAGGCACTACCACTACTGTGTGCTTTCTTTTTTCCTTTTTCTTTTTTCTATTTACTTTTTATTGTTTTTTACATAAGGCAGAAGCTCTATATGTGAATCCTCAAATGATCTCGTGGAAAGAAATAGAAAGTGAAATACTCTGCATTTTATACATGGGCGGCTTAAGAAACACGCTCGTATTTCTATTACCTACTACATCATATTAGTTAAAGCATGTGGTAACATGTTCTTGTATAGAAGTGGTTAACATCCTTTTAATGAAATGACAAAAAGTATAGAACTTTTTTAAAAATTTTATTATTTTTTTTAACAAAAGCTTTAAATGCGCGCTTGGGAAACATCAAAAACGCTATACGTAAAGAGAAAATATATATGCATTCTATACATACTTGGCTTTCCTCCTACATACTTCTATTACCTACATTTTCTTGGTCAGAGTCCGTGGCATCTTTTTGTATGGAACATAAATTATAAATTATAAATAAGGGGTAGTCTAGTATTCGAGACTTCCGTCATTACAAGAGCAGTGGAGGGTCAGATATACAAAACTTTGTACCCATATGTGATGAGATTGTTTCCTGTTTCGAATGGGTGCCTACAGGTCACATTTTAGTTACTTTACTGCTGTGTCAAGGTTCACTTTCAACAAAAGTTATAAATATGAGCCCTAAAACAATCCAGTTGAAAGAAAAATGAAGGGAAATTTAAAACCATAGAGGGTTATGATAACTCATATATAATAGATTAGGTTTTAGTATTAGCTAGTGAGACTTACCAACTCTAGCATCGGTGTGATTGAGAGCAATGCCTCTGTAGACATTGCGCCAATTAGGCTTGGCGAAATGGGACTTGACACGGGTACCGGAGATAACATCGACGCCATTCTTGGCAAGGTTGAGTGACTGAAGCATGGCAATGAGAGCCGAGCGAGCGTCACCTTCTTCGTAGACACTAGTGCAATAGTTGTGCATCTCTATCACTCCCTCATGATCCATTTCAGCAACCTCATTCGTCAAACATTTAAACCATTCAAATGAGCCTCGTTCATTTGTAACCCAGTAGCAGTATGCCCTTCTTGTCCTGAAATTACTGCCACCAGTACTCCCTGATCCGGCCTTTTGCTTTTGTGTCATGGGACTAGAAGTTGGCGGGGTGTTGCCTCCGCCAGCCACTCCATTCATGTTGTTCACAATGTCCTTCACAATGCTGATCATCGGTGTTGCCCCGATTCCTAACCCTATTAGCAACACCACTTCGTATTTCTTGTAGTCTTGTGCTGGTGCTCCGTACGGACCATCAACCAACACTCTTGGAAGACTGTCGATCAATCAATCAATAATCATCACCATCATATTTGTTAAATAGTCATGCTAGTGATAGTTGGGTGGAGCCCTTGCTATAGTTTTAAAAGCATGAAAGATTAATTTTTCAAAAAAATATGTAATGTCTTTAATCATCAACACTATTCAAAAATTGTATATTAACCTTTTTGACGATCAATCAATCCATCAATCGGACACTAATTAAGAACTAAAGGAAGTGCTTGTTGTGAAATGAGGTGAGAGAAGCTGCTTACCTCGTCCAACGAATAAGATGAGGTTGAACATAACAGTAATTATCCGAGTATTCCACGTCCACTAAACATAATTTGTCCTACTTCCAAAAACTTGTTCGATTTCTTTCTTAAAAAGATATATAAAAATGGATAAATGTCTGTTCAAGAGGATGTCCAACACTATATGAAAATGACAACATGCACTTTAATTCTTGCCCATTCATAGTTAGTGCTAGCCCATTAAAGGATGGTGCACATCAGCACATGTTTGTTATCAATGCTTTAGTCATATGTGATGACATTATTTATATGCAATTTCTTTGATTTTTTTTTTTATTCATAAAATATCGTATGAATGACACACCGAAATTACTTTGGATTGTTCTCTCCTCGCAAACGGTCTGCTCTGAGAAGACCACTTTTCCCACTAACTGGTGGCTGACACACCTAATAAAAAACATGTAGAGTTTACTTATAAATATGGTATAAAATATTTCTCAGATTTTTTATTTTTTAAAATTCTATATAATTTACCAAACAATTTCCATAATTATGAATTCTTATCTTGCTAGCTTATATTAGAATAAAAAAAACCTCACCTGTGAGAATACAGTTTTGAGTTGTCGTGTCCAATCGCCAAGAGTGCGGATATGAACACTCAGGTAGTTATTTCCCGGGGCTGAGGTACTAGAAAATGGGTGCCTGTTTAATGAGAAAGCCACCAAAAAGAGTAAGGTACATTTTAGGATATTATATTGGAGAAATAGTTCAATATATTCACACAATAATATTATACTTGGTTAAAAAATACAAACAAATTATTAAAAGTACCAACAACAAATTATTATTATAATTATTATATACATATATGGTAAAGACCACCTACCACTCAAATGGAGAAACAGCAGCACATTTGACAAACATGTATTGTCCACTTTTGTATTTGAAGCCCTGAGGCTTTGACATGTGAAGTGCCAAAACATTTCCGGGATAAACAGCCACCTTCATAGTTCAATGTGAACATAAATTCAGGCATATAAATAGGCATAAATATATGTGTGTATATATATATACACAAATGTACACAGACGACTAAATGGTATACCATTAGGATCTTGACAGGCTTGATACTCAATCTAAATGCTCTAATGAATCTTTCACCCGCGTATAGCATAGTTGGAACTGCCAAGTACATCCAGGTCTGCCAATGCCAAGGGCGGTGTAGATTACAAGATTCATATCATCATGAGAACAAATAAATAAGTATGGATTGAGATGGAAGATGACGAGACACTAACCGTTTTCTTGTACCATTCATGGGTCAAGTAAAGCTTGATGCCATGCACGATGAGAAGAGTGTACACGATAACGAAGAGGTGGTGTGAATACCAGAAGGCGTTGAAGCCGGTGAGTTTTTTGAGAGGTTTGGGCATATTGAGCTTGCCTTGCCTCAACCATGGCAACGCGAGTGCAAAGGCTATTGCCATCAACACTACCATCACAATCCCTGTCACCCCCTCCACTCCCATTACGAAATGCCAGTAACTTGAAGGCTGGTCCCCGAAATATTGCTTCATCAGCTCATCATATTTCTCATGATCTTCGTCAATAAGGCGAGGAAAATCACACGCTAAATGATAAATCCCATGTATCCCCACCCCAATTGCAATTGCCACTGCTATTACCTAAAAGAAAAACCGCCATTTTCAGCAACAACCCTTTACAACTTACTTGAATATAATAAATATAGGGATTAAAATTACTTGGTGGAAATTGAGGTTGTCATCAAATGGAACAGCGACTCCTAGTTTGGTCTTGTTTCTGAGCCAGGTGATGGTGTTTCGGCAGACTGGTAGTAAAATAAGAGCCATGTTCAACTTGAGGGTCTCAGCTGCGCCTTTTGCCATACAAACACAATGACCCATGACCTCGTATGCAGCTCTATTTCGATACTGCACAAACTTGTAGGCAAATAGCCCCAACATAACCCCAATCCAGAGTGCTATAATCCAAACCCTCTGCCACTTGTACTGCAAGAAATACTTGAAGTCCTGATACCATCTCGTTAAGGGATTGTTATCTTGAGTAGGCTTAAGATTCTGACTCAGAATTTGGCTTAAGTTCCGGCTTTCTCCTCTTGCAGAGTGGTTCGGAGCTTGCAACAATAGCATCTCCAAGTTTTCTATCTGTGACAACATTTTAAGAGATTGACGTTCATAAAAACTGATTGATTCCTAGTTCAATCAGTGAAGTTGGTATTATTTGTAAAATTATGTTGCTTAATGTTGTGTACCTTGATGTATCCATGATTCTCTGGATCTAATTCTTCCATGATCAAGGCTGCATATTCCTCGGCGTGTGTCTGGATTAATCTGTGCTTGTTGGCAGAAGCACCAAGTCTGATAATCTGCATATACAAATTATTCTTTCAGGTAGATATAGAGAAGACACGAGTTATTAATGAAGGCCGAAGGCAGTATATATAATTGTACCCCTCTGACTTCTTCTTCACCGATTCTTCCATCTGCATCTTTATCAACCCTGAAATAATTTGCCAACTGGTTACATTTCATCCTCAATGAAATGATTAATAAATAGACAGTATTCAATGGATTTTCTTGTTTCTTACATGTCTAAGAAGGTTTGAATCCTAGTGTCAAAGCTCTGATCCGAAATTTGGTCCCAAAAGTCTTTTAGCTGTGCCTTGTTGATTGAATCACCAACTATATTCCGTCTCCGGGCTAGTGCATCGAAGAGCACACCTGCAAACTCTTTTGACCCCTTATTCATTCCGATGCATTCGCAGAAGAGAGAACGAGGAAGTAAGCCATCGGCGGAAGAAGCAGTAAATTCATTGAACCGCTTCTCCACCGCGGCCCATCCAGTACCACCATCAGTAGTGAGTTCATTGAACTGCTGCTCCACCGCGGCCCATCCAGCACCACCATCGGGCTTGAGATTGACGTTCATAAAAACAGATTGACGTTAAATAAGTGAAATTGGTACTACTATATATATATACACATACATATAATTTATGTTGCTGAATGTTGTGTACCATGACATATTTATGATTTTCCGGATAGCTAAGGCTGATAATCTGCATATACAATTATCGTTTCCGTTAGACATAGGGAAGAAGATACCAATTTGAAAATAAACACAAGTTCTTAATGAAGGTGAGGTAGGTAAGTTATGAAATGTTCACAAAGAAATAAGGATGAGTTTAAATCTACAAAGTTAAAAGAAAAATTGCAAAGCAATTTAAAACATTATTAATCAAATGTTAAATTATGCTCTCATTTGAAATAATATTCCATCAGTTTCAAAAAACTCATCCTTACTATACTTTTACTAATAACATTCCCAAATTATGCTTTTAACTAAATAAGTGCACTAATTAAAGAGTACTATTTTATCTTTTAGGAAGGGTATAGTTGAAACTTTACTCTTATCAATACAATAAAAAACTATTAAAATTTTATATTATAAAAACTTAGAATCCCCAAGCAGGACATGTTTGGAGTACTAATAAATAAAAAACTTAACCCCTCCCCCGAGGTTTAGGCAAATTACAGACGGATGGACTATTTAACCTTTATTATTTTAACTTCCCAAAAGGTTTGGCGCATATGCTCAACGACACCCATCCTATTTTCTGTCCGACAAAATTATTTTATAAAATGATCAATTTACCCTTATCATGTATGGAAAAGATAATAACAGCCTTAAGTATTACTATTTTAGAATTACAACATTACAGAACCATCATCATCATTATTACTCCCTCCATCCCATAATAGTTGTCCATCTTTTCTTTTTGGGTTGTCCCAAAATACTTGTCTACTTACCAAGTTTAAACAACATATTTCACATCTTTCCATGAAAGACCCTCAAAATTTTAAAAAATTTCAAACTTCATTATATATATATTTAAACTTGAAAGGGTAACTTTGTAATTTTTTAAGGGGACAATGCAATAAGTACATGTCCCCTTAAAAAGTTCTACTCCCCATAAAGGACATCTAATATGGGACGGAGAGAGTATTATTATTATTTTAGGTGAAAGCCAACTCCTCCACACCACCAACAAACAAATCATCCAAACTCATGGCCTCCATTATCATCTTCCATGTGTGTGTGTATATATATAGTATGTTTATATATATGCCTCTATCTGTAATATTTTCGATTTTTGTCATTTTTTATTTTCTGGAATTTTCTGATTTTTCAAGGGCATTTTCGTCTTATCTCGTTTTGTTTGCCCGACACCGTGGGATGTACCAAGTGTGTTAGAGTATTGATTGGGACATTTCCTTGAATTCAGGACTGCTGGAAATGCATTGGTTGCCATTTCGACATTTTTCTATTTTTCGGACCAGGAGGTCTCAGGTGGAACTCATTACCGTGGTTGTTGTGGACGGGGGCTGTGTCACGAATCCATTACATTTCATGCATTGTTTTATTATGCATATTTATTTAAATGTATAATTATTGTGTGGGAGGTAAAATGATTAGTGTGTGTGTGTGTGTGTGTGTATGTATTAATGTTAAAAGTTAATAAGATATTATTTTTAAATCGTTGGACCCACGAGCTATATCATTTTAACGACCATAAGGCCATTTTGGCTGATCATTCTTTTTCCCTTTCTCTTTCTGTAGCCTACTTCTCTCATTCTCTTTTCTTTTCTTTTCTTTTCTTTTTTCTCCACAAGTTTAAACTTGATCTAGAGATTTCCTTCGAGAATTTGGTTTTGCCGCTTAAGGCAAAGTTGACGAGTGCATCGAGGCCGAAGTTTTAATCGGAGCAAAGTGTCGTTTCACCACCGTTTGGGATTTCCAATTTTGGGTATTTTTTGAGGCTTTTTCTTCAATTTGAGGTAAGGGTGCTTTAATCCACGACTTCTTTTGTTTCTTGTGAATTTTTCCCTTGAAATTTGACTCTAAGCATGCTTAATTTTAGTCATCATGTTTTTGGTTGTTGTGGTTGTATCTATGCAAGATGACAAATGTGTTTTATGTGTTAATTGAGTTCATGAACATGATTATTTATATTGAAATGAAGGAGTATGCTTAGGGATGACATGTATATATGCTCCATGATTTTAATTGCTCTGAAAATTGATGTTATGGTATGTGAAAATGAATATTTAGAAATCCCTATTAAATTGTGATGACGATATAAATGGAATGTGTGAAATCCTATGGTTGAATTGGTATCTGGAAGCATGTTGCATACATGCATTCATTAGGAAAGAAAAAAGGAGAAGTTTTTTAAAAAGTAAAAGAAATTATTTTTGGGGAAAACGTTTTGAAAAGTGTTTGCGAAATCCTAGACGCCTAAGAGTCGCCTATTGGTCTGTGGCGTTAGCTAATGTGGTCTAGAGAGGTTAGGGAGAGACCCTAGCGAGCTTGAGCTACCTAGGCCTGTGACGCATTGGAGTTGCCATGGTTGGGCATAGTTGGCCAATCCTCGTCTCGTGGCGCCATAGAGTTGCCATGGGTCGGACTGCACTAACAGTTTGAAAAGGTGAAACGGAATTATTTCAAAAACGGGGAGTGTCATTGGCATGTCATTGCATTTCATTGGCATATGTTATATATTTGGTGGTCGGATGACTTATATGCATTCTTATTGTTGTTGTTGTTGCTTTGTTTATTTCCTAAGGCATGATCTCGTTTACTTGTACTCTATTCTTTGCGTGGATTCATGGAGTCATAAGAGGTGTGTCTTAGACACTTCCTACTGAGCGGTTGGCTCACCCCATCATAATATTACATTTTTCAGGTCACGGGAAGGAAGTGGCCGATGACGCTCCTGCACAAGTTTAAATGGGTTAGTGGACTGTTTTGACATATTTTATAGGTATGATCTCATTTATTATTATTATTATTATTATTGTTAAAAAATATTATTATTTTTTTATAAGCCTTGGGATGGCACGTATATTATGTATTGATATAGGAAAGGACAATAGTGTTACCTCGAGTTCAAGTAAGGACCCGGTTAGCGATTTAGACCCTCGGGTTCAGGTCATTACAAATTTAATTGGTATCAGAGCAATAGTTCGAAAACCAGTAGGACGATGGTTAGACGCCTACCTATAGTTGTGTGGAAGGTGGATTACATTATTTATGTGCTTATGTGTTAAAGTGTTCGTTATCTAAGAAGCATGCTTACTTGCTTAATTGCTTATGTGTTTATGGTTTTAAAAGGCATGCTTATTTGCTAAGTGTTCATATGCTTACGTGTTTAATTGCGAAAATGTGTGTTATATGGCCATAACGAAGAAATGTATAACTAATTGAAAACATATTAATTATGATATGATGACAAGTATGATTTAGGTGGTAACGGAAAGTAGTGAGCATGGTAGGTGAAGCATGTCTTGTATGATCTTGTGACGGTTATTAGGCATGATTATGCAAGTATTTTTTCTAAATGAAAGACGGGGTGTTTAAATTTTTGTTTTTTTTTAAATGATGGGACACGATTGTTTCATAGTATAGGACACGGTTACTATATATATATATATATATATATATATGTATACCTGTATAGGAGTATGCGGTTGAGCATGGATGGTTGTGTGGGTTTTGACCTAAGTAGGCGAGGAGCTCGGTTGCTCCAGGGTTGTTTGGGGGGGCTAGTTCTTATCAAACGAATGACATGGACTTCTAGCTCATAGATTGAGCTATTTGGTGTGTAATCATTCTGATTTTTTTGTTACATTTTGTGCGGTGCTTAGAGTATGACTTTAGGGTGGGTTCATATTTCTTGGCACGGTGTCTATGTGGTATATGAGTTTCATGCGTTAGTGCATGGGTTTTGTGACCAGAAAGGTCAGGCGTACGGAGTGAGAGTTTTGTGGGAGAAAGGTATGAGCTTAGAGGGTTTGTGTTTGTGATATGGGTCAGGTTTGGTGCGGAGGTTCTTTATGAACCGGTTTATAGTGGGTGTGACAAGGGATTGCTTAAGTCAGAGTGTAGTCTATGGGTTGTAAACATGTATTTCAAGTATTCTGGTACGGTCTAAGGAAGTGTGTTGGTTATAGTTGTTGAGGGAACTTGTTGGACCCTGTAGGTCCAAGTGATATAGGCGCTGACTGGAGTCATGCCGGTATTGGGTGATCAATTGTTTGATGTAATTCAGTTCTTGGGTTGTAAGAGTCTGTTTTAGAGACTGGTTTGTCGAGGAGTGATTCTCATTTCGGATAACTATGTGTTGCGGGTAATTGACTCTCAGTGAGTTGATTGTATGGCTCGGTGGATGAGTGGGGTTATAGGTTGTCACGGTTGTCGAGAGAGTCTTGAGGTGAGGTATAGTGGTCATTTTTATCTATATAGTGCAGGGTTGCACGATAAGGCAGATAGTATAGGGTCATTGAAGTGTTAGTTGTTTGAGGATCCAAATAGATGGACTATCGATTGGAACGACGGTGATCCTGTAGGTTTAGTTGGTAGCCCCATTTGACTTTTGTCAGGGCCAAGGGTTTTCTGAGGAATGGTAAAGAGGAAAGGTAATGATGTTGAACCTAGAGTGTGAGTTCTTCGATTAGACTCGTAGATTTCCATGGGAGGAGTGGTTCGAGTTGCAGGTTGAGTGTTGGGGATTGATTGCGTTGTAGATAGTTTTGAGGAGATGGTTTGGTGTTAGAGCATTTCGGTCTTTGTGCCCATTTCTCCTTTTGAGATTTATCGGCACGATATTGCCGTATAGAGATTCTTTTCTAGTGGCAAGTAGTGGTTATTGTGGGAGGTATCGAGAGTGAGGCATACTTTCTTGTTATGATAGTGTCATACTATGGATGCATGAGGGGAGATCGCTTGGAGGTAGCCTGTTGAGTTGGTGGGATGTGAGTGCAAGTTGTCATTTGAGGATAACGGTAGTGGAGACGTTATGACGTGGTGTCTTAGTATTGATGAACAGAATGGTTTAAGGTATGATACGAGGGTAGATTAGAGAGTATAATTTGTTTGTCAAATGTTATAAGGTAAGTGATAGGATTTTGCGTCGGTCGATGGGATTGTGGACGGTTTAGTCTTTACAGCCAGTGAGGGCGGTGTTGTATAGGCACCCTGATGAGCACTGAAAAGTGCGTATTTAAACCCCTTAAGCTTAGGCATTCTAGTACCTTTATCTATCTTACTTTACTGTTTTAAATTGATTTCGTATTATTTCCTTTTTTAGG